ATGCATAGTGATATAGCCATACAGCAGGTAGGTAAACATCAGGGAAAGATGTTTTCTTTTTGTTTCCTTTGTACTGATTACTATCATCCACTGTTTTGCTCTAACCCTGTGATTCTTTAGGTGTAACTTTTTATGGCAAGGAATTGTAAAAAAAAAGAAAAAAATCTGCTTTATGTTTCTCTCCTTGTTTATGTTTCTAACATTACATGGCTATACCTTTGCAATAAATGTGTTTTTCTGCAAGATAATGTTTAACAGATTCTATTTGACAAAACGTTTCCCTGTCTTGATGAAAATAAATGTATAATGCCAAGCTGATGGTGATAAAAAGTTTGTAAAATAGAGTGCACATGAAGTACTATGAATATGTTTAGACTGGAGGAGGAGCATAACAGTCGACTTTGGCATTGGCAACGATTTGACAATCCCTTAGCTTGTCAATCTAAGGCTACATTCACAATACATATCATATTTTGTTAGTACCAGTAGTCTGAACATGCCAAATACATTTTTTTTTTCAAATCAAACACAGGTCTTTTTCATATGGTACTAAACTGAATATGAGCTTAGTTTGAATGATCATGTTGCATGGCATCTGATTTTTGTGTCAATGAGGTAGGGGTTAATGGATTGATCCAAGTAATAATACTGATACTATTCTCAGGCAGTTTAAATTTTATCATTTCAGAACTGTAAACGGTTCACGCTAGAATCTGATGGAGGTCATATTTCAATGATATGGATGACCCCACAAAAACAATCAAATCTGAGCAAAAAATCTGAATTTAGCATTAAGACCTGCAGTGTGAACATAGCCCAAAGTAGGTAAGTTATTTAAAGCTCATACCATTACAACAGAACACCACTTTGAAATTTTTTTAACTTAAGTTCAGACCTTAAAATTCTACTTATTACAGACATATTAAGTAGTTTTGTCTGATTTAACAATTAGAAAAACCAGCAACAGTATTTCAGTTACAACTCTTTCTTTAAGAACACTTTAGATCTCACAAAAAGACTAGAAGTCACATTCCTCATGAAAGTTAAATGTGAGTGTAACCTTTGGCTCAGATCCAACTTCTTAAGGTATATTTTTAAAGAAACTCTGCTGGATAAAGTCTTGTAAGAAAATCCTGTGACTGCCAAAACTTCATTGGAGTCCAAGTAAACCAATATATTATAAATGAACCAGGAAATCTCACTTGACCTGTTTGGAAATTTTATCCTGCTGTGTCGTTCACTTGCAATGTGAGGGTAGTAGCTACAGGCGATAGTTGCATTACATGCCGTACTGCATTTCAGAGGCACAAGTCCAAGGTTGATGCAATGTCAATGTTGTATGACCTAAATCTAAAACTTCTGTAAGAATGATGTTTCTCCTTCAGCTGCTCAGTCCAATCTTTACCTCTTTATAAACACAAAACCATGCACAAAGCTTCCTCTCTAAACCACAATAACAAATTGCCTACCAGTACTAAAGAAAAAAATACATTTCTGGACTCAAATTACCAAAATTAAAGCAATTTAGGTGCTACTTAAAAAGAATTGAGCAAACTAACCAGCAAAGTTAAGTTCAAGACCTAAAACAGCGCTCGATCTTATTCTGCTTATCCGTAGATGGCCTGGTACCGACTACACTTATAACCCACCCTATGTTCGAACATGATGTTAATTATGGACAGCCCACGCTTAGCACAGAAGCCCAATAATAGTACATCGTTTGGGTTCAGATCAGGGAGGCCATTCATTCCAATCACACCGCTCCAGAAAACTCTGTCATTGTCCACATGGATATTGAAGTCACATAGTAGAGCAAGGGAATCCCAAATGGCACTTTTTCCAGGACATCATCCAAAGACTCAAGGATGGCTGGGTAACCTGAACTGTGGTTTTGTACATTACCACAAACAGCCAGAGCCGTCCCTTTTGCCTGAGAGAGGCAACCCTCTCATTTACCAGGGAAAAGTCCAACATGGAGGCATTCAGCCAGTGGCCTGTGAGTATCTCCACACCCACCTGACATCCTTCTCTTTGGGCAACTTCAGAGTAGGAGAGAGTCCAGCCCCTTTCCAGGAGTTGGGTTCTGGAGCATAAGCTGTGTGTAGAGGTGAACGTGGAGTAAATTGTGTCAGACCCCTCAGATTATTAAAAAATATGAACTCTGCTTGATTTTCCACTAACAAGCAAGTGCTAGCATGTATTGTCTGAGAGAGGGTTTTCCTTTGTTTTTACTAACATTAAGCATCGAGCATGCCACATCTTGGTATCTTTTCTTGTTTCCTTGATCTATAATACAAAACAAATCTTTTTATATCTTCTGCTTCACTCACAATGGGGTTGTAGCTGCATTTTTTAAAAGCCATTAAGATAATATTGATAACATAAATGATCGATTTGGTAAATAAAAAACACATTGCTTTATAATTATTAAGTCACATTTAGGCAAAGTTTAATCACTCGTATCTAATGATTACAAACAATAACTATAATAACGTTATTTCTATACAAGGTCAACAAGTAATTGGAATTTACATTTTTATCTTCATTAGATGCTGTATGTAAAACACATGTTCATTTGCCATTGGTCTTGGTTAATACAACTAAAAAGGAAAATAAATTAGGCCTTTTTGCCAAAATCTTGTTCGCATCAGTATTTTTCAATGAACAATAAAAAGTTTTAAAGCTTCCACATTTTATTACTGAAAGTAAAGCACCCAAAATCCTCTTTTGGATTTACATGACCGGACTATCATCTCTGCCTCTCTAATGGCTTTGTGGAGTTATTTAGATTTGTTTTAACAATGTCATTATTCCTCTTGTCTGTTTTGTGATGTCAGGGTCCATTACTGTGTCGAGCAAGCCAAATTAGTTAATGACATAAGCTTATTTGGAGGAGAGGGACATAAAAATTAAGGACAGTCAAAACAAATACGTATCTTGCCTCAGATGACCTGCTATTATGTTCTTCACTGTCATTCTCAAAATAGCACCAACACACATGCGGACATGTTTATTCTAATACTTGTCTTAGAGCAATACAAGTCTGATAAGAAAAGTGGAAAAAACAAAAGACATACCGACTGATTTATTCTGACTCAGTCTTAAAGTAAAATCAACGGTGTGACATTTGTTTCTAAGTGGAGCCTAAACTTTTACAGGTTCCCTGGCTTCTTCATTGAAAGTGTGCCAAATCTTTTATTTATTTATTTTTTAAGCTTACTGCCTACAGCAAGTACAAAGCCAAATTTCAAATAAATGGAAAAGTACAGTTTTTCACTGTGAAGTGATCTGATTTGACATGTACAATTGTTTGGCAGATTCAAGTTATGCCAACGAGCCTCAGGAACAGTCTTGATCAGACGCTCAGGCACTCTTCACTGTCATGAAGCTAAATCCTTTTGAAAAATGCACATAAAAGGCTACACGCTAGGCCACAGCTGTGATCTTTGAACACCTCAGATTTCTGTTGCCCAACCACACGATGCTGGACAATCACAAGTACAGGTAATTTGACCCTTTTCATGCTTTCTGTAACCAGTAAATATTTAATCATCTCGAGTATTTAGAATTGCATGTGAAATCAACCTTTAATGTACTTTCCAGTCTGTAATATTTTCACAAACACGTGTTTAGGTAACAGGGACTTTTGTCAGTCCAAGCTGAAATGTTGATAAGACCAGCTCGGCCCATCGTCACCTCGTCCTCAATCTTTCTGCTCTTCAACCAAAACAGAAAACTGAGAGGTGAAGCACGAGAGGTGACCTGCGCCGGAGTATGACCTTGCTATAAGTGTGCATTCAGAAATACATACAAGACACTGCCTCCAGACAGGGTAGTTCAGAAAAGGCATGAGAGCAGGCTGAAGAAATCTATTATTAGACCAGTCATCAGTTCTTCTGATAACCTTCCCAAGTCTTGCTGCATTTGGCTGCCCCAGAGGCATCTTAGTCATTTGGATCTCAAGTGAGTCATAATTGTTGCTCTGACAGGTGGGTGCATAGATACAATAACATCTCTGTCTACACAACTACAGTTCACAATGCTTTAAAATCACCAAAGACATTACACTGAGTTTGCTTTTGGAGTTGCGGGTGAAAGTAAAGAAACACCAAGCCTGCACAATCAGGTCATAAATGCACTGTCATGATGAACTACTTTAGTTTAGCCCTGATATGAGTCAGCTTATGTTACAGTAAATTCAACCTTCTTAGAGATACACTTGAGGTGAAAGAAAAAAAAAAGTCTTGTTTTTGTGGCCTTAATCCTTCTAATCCATCTCAGGCCTGTATTTGCAGCACATTCTGTAACCGTTTCTGTTCTGTGATATTTCTCAGAAATGTTTCTGCTCCGTTGTACTCTGCTCGCTTGAGTTAATTGGGCCTGTGAGGATACCTCAACTTTTCAACCTGAGAACAAAATTTCTGCCCAAAAACATTTATCAAGAGCACAGGCTTCTCAAAATAAACAGAACCTATTACCAGAGGAAGGAAGGAAGGATGTTAGTTGCTAAACAACATTTCCCAGAATGCGTCATAACGCTATAATGAGACTGCAGGGAGTCTTTATTCTAATACGGGCAAAGTAGTTCGCTCTGACTTTGAGGCCAGGACACCCAGAGGAAAGGCTGTGTTAGATTGCAGTCCTCATTTCGCTTCTTCAGCTGGATGGTAAAGCCGAGGTACTCAAATTATTCATAGGACTTTTCTGATAAAACGTGTCACTAATTTGATCTATACAGTATCTACAGATTTGCTCATTTAGCAGACCTTTAAACTAAAATTAATTCATTTATACAAGCGTCGACTTTGATCCTGTCATACTTTTGGGAACAAATTAATGCTCTGACACACTGTACACAAGGACAAATATATATTTTACCATTTTCAGTCTAATGTTGAACCTCATAGTGTAAATAAATTGGTAAATACAGACCCAATTTTCCAGGACGTGGTGTGCTTTGTGTCACTAGTGAGTCTAAACGTGTAATTTCATCCATTCACCTGATTATTGTTGATGCTTGTTTGTCCCAGACTGGGTGTAAGGGCACCAGGTGGTGCTGGGGCCCTTCTCTTCTTGGTCTCAACCATGGCTGACGTTCTGGGGATATCAATGACGGACTGAGACTGCCCCAAACAGCTGGACCGAACCTCCATTACATGAGACCCTAACCCAGAAGACTGACCCTGTGGATAACAGAAAGAAAGAAAAGTGGGTGACACTCTGACAAGCAAATGCTAAAAAGGTGCATATAATCAAAGATCAAATATGTAAGTTATTAAAGTGACTTTCTTCTGATTTCAAACTAACATTGGACCACTGGATCTGTTCAGGGTGTACCCTGAACCTTGCACAGTGACTGTAGGACATGGGCACCAGTGACTCCCACAACCAAAAAAGGAAGAAGCAGGTAGTAAAGATGGATAGACCTATATACCAAAACCTGAAGTGAAGGGTCTCTGTATTCTGTCTTACATAATAAGCTATAGAAAGAAACTGCATATATGGTCACAAAACATTTTTGCCATGCAGAGTTTACATTTGTTTTTTGATTTTTCAAAACTACTTAGCTTTCACACAACAGATTTTTTTTGTCTGCCATTCCAATATCAAGTTGAGCAGTGTGCCCCCATCTTATATTGTTCAATATTCTTATAACTTAACATATTCTTAAAGGGGCAATATCATGTAAAATCTACTTTTTTGAGGTTTTTTATCATGTTATAATGTTATACTCTCATAAAAAAAACATGCCCAAAGCCTTGCTCTGACTCATTCATGCATGTTTGAGAAATCTTGCAGTGTTTTTAGGAAGCCATGCTGAGGAGCAAAACGACAGGTGGGGACCAGAAACGCTCCTGGGACGTGTCTTTAAGCCGAACTTCCTCATGGAGGAGCGCCCCCTCTCCCACTCCCCACACACCCCGCCCAGGCGCCCATGACTCCTGCAGGCTCTCGGGTGAAACTGAAAGTGCAAGTGAAACTGTCTGCTGAGCTCTCAACATTAGTTCTCACTCAGTGAAGCTCTTTTCAGATTAAAAATACCTTTGAGGAAATGTATTTTCAGATGCCAAGTAAGCTGCATCATGGCAGCCACCACCCCCCACCCCCCCGCGCGCACTGAAATGGGCAAAACGGAAGCGGAAGGTGGCTCTTAAAGAGACAGAGGCCAATTTCAAGGCATTTAGAAGAGGAAGTGATGAGAAGGTAAGTTTATTTTCTATTTAAACATAAAAACAGCATTTTAATAACAGCTAAAGGATAGAGTAATAGATAAAGTAAAAGATACTAAAAATAAAGTAATAGATACTTTATTATGGTATAGTATTTAAATACTGTATATGCCCGAGAAACACATAATATTGGCCCTTTAAGGTAAATGGACTAAACTTATAAAGCACTTTATTAAGTCCCGCCAGACTCCAAAGCACTTTACACTACAGTCATTCACCCATTCATATACACATTTACAAACTGATGGTGATGAGCTACATTGTAGCCACAGCTGCCCTGGAGCACACTGACAAAGGTGGGGCTGACATGCGCCAGCGCCACCATCAGACTTCATCAGTTCATTTTTTTTAAATTTTGTGTTATCACTGATAGTAAAAAACAACTAAACACTAAACTCATTAGGCAAGCATTTAAGAAACAACTTAAAATAAGAAAAATGATGGCTTAAAGAGTTAAGTTACACCTGACACCTGTACTAAAATGTATTCAAAACACATAAAACAATCAGATTTGTGAAGACAGCATCCATTCTTCAGTGGTGACAAATATTTCAACATTTGTTTGATCAAGCTAAAAGTGTAAGCTTATTTTCAAAGGGTGGCTGCTCCTGACTAAAAGCATTTAGATCATAAAATGATTTTCAACATTCTGATCAAAGAGAGCCTCGAGTGCTCCTGAGAATCTGAGACTTCCTGTGGCTAAGCTTGGTACAGAGCCTTGGCACCAACAGGGGCACCACACCAGGGTCTACAGCCCCCGTGGTCAAAGAAAAGTGTTTTAAAGAAAATTCATTGATGAGTTCAGACAACGCCCCATTACACAGCAGAAGACTAGGAAAAAAAAGAACATTAACTTCATCTATCCATCAATTTTCTTAACCCACTTTTCTGTTCAGGGTTTCTGCAATCGTTATTGTGCGAGAGGCAGGGTACACTGTCGACAGGTCACAAGTCCATCACATGGCCACTAGGGCTGTGTATTGGCAAGAATTTGGCGATACGATACATATCATGACAGACGGGTCACGATACGATATTTTCCGATATATTGCGATATTTTTGGTCCAAAAATTCTATTAAATAAAAACCTCTTACTGGAAAAAATGAACCAAAATTCATTGTCTCAGAAAATTCTATTACATAGACATGCGCTAGCCTTCTGTAACGTGAAGGCTGACTAAAGTTGGAAAAAAGAGTGCAAGAGACACTTAATTTGGCTTAAAATACAGACATTCTGATAAATAAGTAACTGTTTGTAACCTCACCTCAGCTTAGAAGGCAGAAGGTGTCGGTCTTTTCAGCTCAGATTCAGCTATCGGAGCATGAAGCTAATGTTTACTTACAATGCTAATGCTACCCTTACTCTCTGGTGCTCAAGAGGTAGAGGAGCCAAATGGCTGGCTCACCACTGCCAACTAGTGGTCAGAGGCTGAACTACAACATAAAAATAAACGGCTGGCAGGAAAGTTGACATTTTAAACCTTAATTAAATATCGATACAGGACTTTAGAATATCGATACAGTATCGGGAAATGAAATATCGCGATATTTCAGTGTATCGATATTTTCTTACACCCCTAATGGCCACATATAAATATTAACAGGTCCCATGCAGCTGAAACAAAAATTTTAAAAGTCCAAGTTCTTCGGAAAACCTTGGTTTACAAAGAGACAGAAGTAACAAAAGAGAAGAGCACAACAGATGGTAAGAATCATCCAGTTTGTGTTTTGATAACAGAAAAAGGGCAATAATTACAAATATAGAAATATTAATAGCATGTGTGAATTGTATCCCAAAGCATAAACAACAAATCTAAACAGAATCCTAACTAAACTGAAATAAAGATGAAAAAACATCTCGAGTACAAGTGTCTTGTTTGTGAACTGTTGTTCAGAGTTTTGTATGACTGATACATTCGCAGCCTGACAGCAGCAGGAGCAGGGCAGGGGGAAGAGAAGCAGACTGCAGACAGAGACTGACAGAACATAAAAAGGAATGCTGAAGGAGAAAACTGGTACGATTTCTGTTTGAAATCCTTCTAAAAAAAAAGAGAGAGAGCATGTTTTCATATCACCAAAAATATCTCCTTCAAAGAAAAAAAAAGAGTGGAATGAACTCTATCTGACTTTTTCACCTGCTCTCTCCTGCTTTTTTGCCCCAGAAAGTAATCTGAAAAATTCAAAACAGCAAGCGAGTAAAATAGATCAAAAGGTACTTGTGGCACTTGGGAATGGGGGGGGGACCCAGGTTCGCAGAGAAGTCACGATAACACTGTGAGGAACACTCAAAGATTATGGTGAATATCTGCATTACTATAAACATCGTCTACATGCTGGACCCTCCACTAATGCATGTCATTGAGTGAAGAATGTATCGCACTACAAATCACACAAGCAAACAGGTAAAATGCTACAAATAACAAATGACAAACAAGTCAACCTATACATCAACTTCTCTTTAAACAAGAATATTTGTTCTTTTATCACTTTTTAAAACAAATTTCACTTGGTTCTAATGGGACATGTTAAATCAACCATCTGACTGCCCTGTTCATTGTTTCCCCTTTTATTACACCTATTTTCCTGTACCACACACCAACCTATCAGTGATTAAACATGATGCATGGCAGGCAGATATTAAAGTACTGTAATATACAAGTACTGACTAAAAAGACTACAACTCTATCATTTCTCACCATAAGATGATCTTAGTCTAAAATTCTGGCACGAAAGGCAGCAAGTAATATGCATTCCTTCAAGTCATGCTAGACCTTTAATCAGTCTTTATTTTAAAAGCATTTTTGAAAACTGTATTTACAAGACTGCATAAAGTAATGTTAATGGTAAGATATGAGCTGACTAATTACTGGAGGAAAACACAATAAAACTTCCTTTAAAGACTTCAGAGTCAGAGAGAAGATATGTGTTCACACAGAAAAATGAATGCAGCTGAGTTCAGGCAGAGTTCAGTTTCTGAGGATGAAGAATTCAAAAGATACCAACGACTTGTGGCAGAAAACCCAAGTGACAGAATCTCAACTTCATCATGTTTAAATATAAGATCTGACTAAGGGTTTAAAAAATACAACATGTTTAGTTTTATTTAAAAAAATCTTTATGCTTATGTAAATTATATTTTTGTCACTCAGTTTCTGAACATTAGGAAGTAAAATTAGATATATAATTTATTCAGTTTTAATTTGAAACTGTAACTTTTTCTAAATTAATAATAATAAACCACAACAGGGACAAATAAGGCTGTTAAACAACAAATGGTTTATATGTTTTTATATAGTTTGTTTATTTATTCATGAGCAAATAGAGATGAACTCTAGCGGTTATGTGCAGGTCAGTAATGAGTGCCTCTGTAAATACATTTAAATGTTTTTTTACAGCTGCAAATGGGAGGGTGGGACGCCCGAGGCTTCTTTTAGTTATTAGGAGATATTAAGCAACTTTTGATAGATAGAAATATAAAACATAATATTGTTTCAAACAATAACAGTGGGACAGAAGCTGACTTATTATTATTATTATTATTATTATTATTATTGTTAATATTTAGTAGTAGTAGTAGTAGTAGTAGTATTTTAAATAAGTCTGCTTCAGAATCCATAATACACAAACACAATACATTCTGACATCGTTAGTATGTCCAAGATCATAAACTCTTCCAGTGACCCACACAGCAGTTCAGCCCTAAATGAACAATTAGAGATAAGAGGCTGAGCTTTTAGTGCTAATGTAGCTGAAGTAATATGACGCCTGCCTTTAGTCTGATAACACACTGTGTACATGTGTTGGTGTGTTTTCTTTGTTCACAAATGCACTTGTGGTCTGAAAACAATTCTGGATTTTAAGCAATTAAAAAAAATAAGAAAGAAAAATAAGCTGCATAAACCTCATGTATAAGAATGAAATGGCTCAAAAACAAACTATGTCTTAAATACATTACGGGATTTTAAATTTGAAAATCAACATTTACCACGATGGACTGAGCTGTATATGTAATAAAATTTGTTTTCTTTTAAACCTTAAATTAGCATTTAAAGGAAGCGTCCCAGCATTCGATAAAGGCATTAAAAAGAACAGGACACCTTGAATCGGCAAGAAGAGGATTATAGCTGTGAAGACGCCGAGTGTTCCGAAAATCAGAAAGAAGACAGAAGGGTGGAGTCGAACCAAAAGCCTTGAACAAAAGACAGCTAGCCAGTGTTTTTTTTTTTCTCCCGAAGCTAATTCAATCAAAACCCCACATGATTGAGTTATGGCTATAACAGGACACTAGCATCTAAATGTCCATCTGGTTTATAGTGGAGTGGTTGAGAGGAAATTTATTCTGATATAAAAACCTTTAACAACATGTTTAAAAAGTTAATATTTATACAATTTAGGTTAGAATTTTGCATCACAAACGGATGGTTGCAGGTTCATGGGCAACTCTAAAGTGACATTAAATGTGAATGAGAGTATGACTAGTTAGTTGTCTTATTTGTCTCCATGTGTCCCAGTGATGGACTTGATGGTCCGGTGTGTACTCTGCCTGTCACACAGTGACTGCTGGAGATGGACTCCGGTTTCCCATGACCCAGAAATAACAAAGCAGGTAAAGAAAGCATATCAATTAATGGATTTTAAATTGCTGTTATTTAATAATAGCATCCTTCAAACCTGGTCATCGTATTTATATTCTACTGACAACTTGAAAAGTGATGGGATCTAAGCAGTACACTTACAAATTCTTAATATTTCCAGTCACTACACTACAAAATATGATCATTTATTGTGAAATTTGCATCTATGAAGAAAAAAAAAGGAAAGATTGTTTTGTTCTAAGCAGAACTTTTAGGAGTATTGTGTCTAATCCGGAGACAAATGCTGCCCTCTGGTGGACACAATTAAAACAAAATAAAAAAAGAAATGTTTACTGTATATACACCGGCATATACTGTATGTATAGTATATATAAACATAAAGATGGTGATTGCAACTAAATAATTCAACTTTTGCGAACCACTTTATTCTAGACCACATCTATTCACATATTTGCAAAACAGATCTGAAGTTCATTCAGTGGCAGTTGATGTTTGAGCGTCTGAGAAAAAACAAGTTGTTAAAAAATTAAAGCTTAAAAAAGATCTTTCAACTTTAATATAATGGTGATACTTTTTAATTTAACAAACTGGTGACAAGAGAGAATGATAAGCAGAAAAAAATATATAATGGTGAAATGTATTGAAACAGCCACCAAATGGCAAATATGGTGAATGTACCACTGTCACTTCCAGTTATATCCAAATAGACCAAAAGTAAACAACAGCGGAAAAAATATCTAGAACAGAATTTTCTTTATTATGTGTATACTGCTTCCTTTTTGTCTATTGTTGGAAAAAAACTTTTTAAAAAGTGCATCTTTTAGAATAATAAAATTACTCAATGTTTAGTAATGTTTATTTTAAATAGGTTAATGTCTACAAAGTCATTAAAAAAGATCTCCCCATTTTACACTTTTGGATGAATTCCTTAAACAATCTTTTTTTAACCTCCTGTATTTTGAGGTATATATTTTTTAGAAGGACATGAGTGTAATTTTTCCCCAATTTCTAATTCATCCCTTTTCTTTACCCACGTTTTTTTTCTTTCCGGGTCACGGAGGAGCTAGAGCCTGAACGAGACAGACAACTACTCACACTCTCACCTCGAACCAATTCAGAGTTACCAAGTTAGCTTAACCTATGTTTGGTCAGCAGGAGAGAACCTGAATAAAAAAAAACCTACACAGACTGAAAGAACATGAAAACTCCACACAGGAAGGCAAACCAGTGACCTTCTTGCTGTAAGGCAACAGCTTTAACTGCTCCGCCATGCTGCCCTGCTACAAATTATCAAATTAACAAAACATGGCTACAACTCAGTCAAATTTTATAGATATTCAGTTCAAATAGAGTCGGATGGAGCGAACATGATGAAGTTAGAATACAGCGTGGATTTATGTCTTCTCAAATCAGACTGACTGTAACGTTTGTCCATAAGTAGCCATTTAATACAATATACATGTAACCAGCAATGAAAGCAAGTGTTTGCTGTTTGTTTCAAGGTTTTTCATTGTTAGCTTTTAACTAACCTTATTGTACTAACCCCTGGCAGTTAAAACTTCAGAGAACTGAGAAAAAAAATCATTATAAAATTGATCTTTCAGTTCACTTTTTGAACTTCTGTGAGATAAGTTAGTACTACTTACGTTCGATTTTATGTCTATATTTTGAATTGTGTTGTCATCAAAGTCATCCATGTCCATAGATCTTGCCTCTGTCTGCAAATGAAAGGCAGAAAGCAACATGCAGCATTCAAACGTGCATTTAGTCTATCTAAATTATTAGTTTTAAGAAATGTCAAACGAATCCTTCACATATTAGTAATGTATTTCACATTCTCATAAAATCGTAGTATCACATGCCACCTTTTTTCAGCTGAAAGATTTACGTTGTGGCGATGCTCAAGTTAACATACCGGACATATGACAGATTTTTAAAACATTTTAATTAAAGTTTAAAAAAAAGCCAACAAAAAGACTGTAAAAGTACAAAGTATAAAATGTATCTTACTGGCCAAAGGCCAGACCAAAAAGAATATTTGATTCACATATGCCAAGTAATATGTGTACATATTTTCCCTGTTTTATTTTTTTCTTTTCTTTTCTTTGACTTGCCTACATTATCTGGGAACTTACTTCAAATCTGGAAAAGATAACCTCATTGAGTAGATATTTTTGGATTTACTTATTTATATACTTTTTACCAGAAAAAAAAAGACAAATTAGAGCAAATTCAATCTTGAAAACTGAATTAGTTGGCATAAAATAGTCCAAAATTTCACTATGCACATGACAGAATGTTAAGTTTTACCTTTGATTTTCTTCTGCTGAACTGGAAGATATTTAGGAGGCTTTTCTTTTGAGATCCTCCCAAACTGGTAGTACTGGAACAAACAGAATCTAATAAAAAAAGAAAGAAAACCAAGAGTAGATCAGATGATACTATTATGCATCATAATAAAAAAGGACAGGGAACAAGGTTAGTCTGTATTTGGGTTAGATTTTTGTGAAAAGCAAAAGGCTAAATACTCCTGAATGTATAAATCAGGGTCAATTGTAAAAGGGCTTATTGTGTTAAATGCTGAGTTTAGAGTAAGTTCCTTTTAAGATACTTTTGTGATTCCTTTTTTTCTATTAAAGTCTAGGTGAAAGCTTTATTTAGCATTCTTTATATAATGTGTTGTACAATCTAGCTTCATCTCTCATCTGAAAAGGTCCAAATTGCTCAGCCTTCTACTAAAGCTCAGCAGAGGGCGCCACAGATTTATCATTTCTAACTTTCATACCCATGAAAGCAGTACCTAAGAATAAATTTTAGGAATGTTGCTTTATGACAAGAAATGTAAACTAATCCACAATTAGTACATCAGGTTTTCTTTGTAATTAGAAAGATGCTAAGCTAATATTACATCATTCAAAAAAATAAAGAAACTGGTGTAGAATTAAAACAAAAACTAAACTAAATCAATAGTTTTATTTGACCATACTAACTAAGAAGCACGTCCAATGCAATAATAAGACAGGGTTAGTGAGCAAGCAGCTGCTGATCAGACTAAACAGCCACGGGGTTTTAGTATAAAACACACTAAGACACCAAGGACTAATACCTGAGTAGTTTAGAGCAGGGGCAGAAGCCATTTTAGGCTGCAAAACTGGAAATAAAACAATTGAAAACACATCGAGTCATTAATTTTCAATACCTACATGATAAACAACTCAATCTGTTGTGCTTACTTGGTGGTGGCACAGCAAACAATGATTACACCAAGGAGAAAAAATATTTTAATCATTAGCGCCACCAACTAAGCTATTTGTAGATTGTCTCTATTAAATTAAACAAGTTAAAAATACCAAACTGGTAACACTATAATAACTATATTTTATTTAGCCTTACTTAATCTGTGTTTGTTTTAGAAGTAATTAGCCTTTTTCAATGGGTTAATTCATTGTTCATTGAGTATGAACCACTTTTAATTAATGATGTTTTCAAAGATAACTAATCACTGTTTAATGATTAAGTAAGGCTAAATTAGGTGTAGTAATTATAATGTGTTTTCTACCAAACCAGCTATGCACACTTTGTATCAGTCTGTGTCACATGTCAGCACTGTAACAAATCAGAAAATCCAAACTTGGACATTATTTTAGCTTCATATCAGAAAAAAGACATGTCACAAATATACAACTTCTAAACTAACTCATTTTTGTTCTGAAAATAGATTTTAAAATGATTTTAAAAATCTGGATATTTGTGCTGTTCTTGTGGCTTTAACCCAAGTTATTGTGGTATAATTATCCAACATTTTGGTCATAGTTGTAACTCAATAAGCTAGAAGCTCTTTTCACGGCCTCCTGCACAACTGACTGAATCTAGGTAGAATGAAAGCTGGTGTTTCTCTTCCCTTTAGTAAAGTCACAGTATATTTTATTTTGTATTGTTTGTTTTTCCTTTGACCGAATTGAACATTATATAAGAGAGTGCTAAGTGAATGTGATTATTTACTAACTTATTTGTCTTTTCTTGTATTTTATTTTTCCACTTTTTATGACTGAGTAATAAATTGACAGAGGTTGGCTTCCACTAAGTTAAAATAAATGAACTAAAATGAAGCAACATGTACGCTGAGAAGTGCAAATGGAAATGATTCACAGTGTGCAAAGATAATGTGATTAAAGTTTACCTAGACTCTGATCATGCACATAGAGCTCCTTGATCCCAAGATCAGTCAGAGATTTGTCCAGCGGTAGCTCGTGACGACTGACACCGTCTTTCAGAAGCAGAACATGTGCGGGCTTAAAATCACACTTGTCACAGATGACTGGTATCAGAGCATGGAGTGGAACCAGTGGGTTGACCCGTACCACAGCCTTCTGGCTGCCGTGGTAATTAACCATCAAACGCACAGTTTTCTGATGCACAGAGGAGAAAACAGTGGAGAAAACGGATGACTAAATTCCAGTGACTGGATGTGATGAAAGTCTAATTAAAGCCAAATCAATGCACAAATCATCATTATGCACTTGCACAACAGGAATTTCCCTGGGCACTGAAAGTGTACAACACTACAGAAAGTTGGAAGGACATCCACTTCATACAATATTACAGCAATAAAAATAATGTCGTTACATAAAGGATGAAGTGCTCCAATGATCCAACCACTAAACCAAGGTTATGTCATGTAAAGGACAAAACTGCAATATTTTGAGCAAACACCTTTTCCATGCAAGTGCAGCAATAACAGCCCTGTGAGTGACATGTGAGAGGAAATAACTCAAAACAACCAAAGAGAACAGACAACATTGATGTAACAGTGTGCACCGGTAGGCTTTGGTGACATTTATCATCATAGTTTGAACCAACTGAATGGGCCCCTAAATGACCATCTGCCTTAAAGATGATAAGAAAAATCACAAATGCTGCTGGAAGCGTGGAAGCAGTTCTGGTCTGCTGGTGAAATACAGTGACTTTCTTTCTGGGATTCTTGGTAGATGATAGATGTGCTGCAAACCCTTATATTATCTTTTTATTTTGAAGTAGTACTAAACGTGCCAAAGGAAAAAAAAATATTGTTTTTTTCACAATAAATCATTTATTTAGGTTTGTTCTGGATGCTTCTTATTAGGCAGTAGTTTTTGTCTTTAGTTTAACCAGTTAGATACTTTTTATGTCCATATTTTTTTTTCTTGTTCCTGGAAATGTATCAACTTTGGGATGATATGGAAACAGCATTTTTCCAAAAGGCATCGTTAAAGTTAGCAATAATTGGGGCAAACATCTTTTCTTTACAGATTTACAGAGATGACGTTTTGAGTGTTATGTCATGAAAATATTAGCAAAGCTAGTTACAAGTCTTCCTTCAGCTTGTATGTCTGTACGATGAAGAGAGAACACATTATGTGTACTAGTGCTGCACCGATTGTTTAAAATAATCGGTTATGTTGATTAAAAAAACTGGTCGACACTGCATTTCATTACTGAAGATCCGTATTATTTAAACACGTAAATGTTCATTTGTATCTGCAATGAAATACACCAACTGCTGGGGGCAGAATCGCTTCTATTGTCTGTGGTTGCGGTGTTTACTACAGAAGAAGAGTCAAACAATCCATTTTTGATTATCGTATTTATTCGTGTATAATACGATCTCGTTTAATATGACCCCCCCCCCCTTTTTTTGAGCTTAAAAAGCATAAAAAAATTAGTCAAACTACCTCCAATTTCATACAGACTTCAAGATTTTTCAGCCTTTGCAGTCTTTACTTATATCAGTAAAATGATCATTGGACTGTTCACTTTATTTTAACAACATATGTACTAAAAGGTATTTTGACAACAAATATGTATCAGCTGCAGCAGCATCATATGAATTCTGGCATTTTACACATAGTCCACCAGGATGTGCCAACACAAAAGTCAGAGACTTCACATGAGATTTGGGCCATCTTCTGGGGGAAAAGCAGATTACTTCCTACTCACGAGCGCCCCCTCTGGTGGGGGAACATTTTTAGGGATACTAACTTTTTCAGAACACCGGTAGACGGCAGCCATTACAGACGAACATGTGTTTGTTGTTGTTCGAGGAGCGGCTCGGTCACACGCTAATGTCATTAGTTCGTTATCATTACTAAGGTGCAGGACTGCCTTTTTAATTTTTTTTTTCACATCATGTCGCCTGCCTGGATCTGTTATCTCGCTCTGAGGCACGAAGGAGTGTCACAGGTAAGCTTGCTTCAACTGCTTTTTAAGTCGTGGTCTCATTTCCAGGCTCATTCATTTTGTGAATGAAGCCGATATTTCAGTTAAAATACATAAGTAAAAATATTTATCCGAGTATAGTACTACCCCCCAACTTTACGGATGATTTTATGGATTAAATTTTACGTATTATACTTGAATAAATACGGTAATTGTTACATCCCTACTTTGGAATGAAATGTACTGGGGAATATGCATTTTTTAAAGAACAATAAGACCTAAATAAATAAAAAAAACAACAGTTTTTACTTATTTATTCAAGCTTTTGAGGACTGGATGGAGTTGTCCCTCATGTCATATTTTGTCCGTCAAATTTGTGACATGTATTCATAATAACACAATTCAAGTAATTTTATTTGAACTCTAATATAAAAAGTGCAATATGCAAATTAAAATGTTATGTCAATACGTAACCCAGTGGAAGCTCTTGAATACTACTGGGATAAAGTACATTAAAGTAAAAATTTTAAAGCAGAAGTGGGTATATGAGTAATTATAACAGACGTGGCTGACAGTTGGTTAAATGCAAACAATTGATAAATGCAACACAATTATTATTCCCACAACAAGACATTTATAAATGTATGACTGAACACAGTCTGACAGCAGTTTGAGTTTTAACTGCTAAACCAGGTGATCCAGTGAGTGGAGAGGGAAACTGAAAAGAAAATGACCAACAGCAGTGTGTGAAAGAGGGCTGAGGCCAGGTGGGGTCAAAGGGAGGCAGAGCAGCCAGTGAGCCCTGAGAAGAGCAAAGAAATAATGCATGGTAACTAAAGGTAAGGCACTCATCAAATATTCAAATGGTTCGCAGACAGAGAAGGAGAGACAAAGAAAAAGGAACAGAAAGAAACAGATGCAGAGGAAAAAAGAACATGTTTATAACTTAAGGTGTAATGATCTGTAAGAAGTCAACAAGGGAGAAATATAGGGAATCCAAATTGGACAGAAAAGGCACCTACAGCAAAATAAATAAACAATTCAATTAATGAAGAAAGTCCAAAACAGAGGTCAGTTCATTATCAAACAACTTCCTACCTTAGCATGAGCCCTTACTGGTTTCACTGGCCTTGCCTTCTGCCAGTGATGAATGATAAAAATAGAGAGGGGGGGAGAAACATTACAGAAAGCCTAAATGCACACATGCACACCACAAAACTGCAACATTGTGTAGACAATATTGTTGTTTGCTATTTGGGCAGAATTCTACTTTTAAAAATATTGTGTATTCTCGCCAGTATCATGGCAAGACTTAATGTTTAATGAATATGAGATAACAGCCACTGCACACAGGAATCCATGCAGGACTTGCTAGATTAAAAAAAGTTAGTGTTTTTATTAATAGCAATAATAAAAAAAATTTAATACAAAAAGACCATCAAAAAACAAAAAAACAAACAAACAAAAAAAAAAACAGATCCAACTTAGCCAGGCACCATTGCAACTCACCTCTGGCACTTTGGGCGCTGGTCTGCGCGTCACTCTCTCCTCCACGACTTTCTCCTTGATGAGCACCTTGGCCACATTGAGGGAACCGAGCAGGGCGTTGGGCTTAAACCCCAGCGAGTGTCCCTCGGGCGACAGGAGCTCCAGGGTGTGAAGCGCTGGATTCAGTTGGTGGCGACTGCACAGCTCCACCAGCAAGTCCATCAGAGCTTTACTGAGAGAGGGGAAAAGGAAGAAGTGAAAGTGAGAGTGGGTGTGGGTGTTTGTGTGCAAGCGTTCACGTGTGTTTGCATATGGGGGGGGGGGGGTAAAGTTACAGCACTTATCTAGCTTCAGCTCCACTTTAAGAATGAAACAAAGATTCACTCACCTGATGCACTTCAGGTGAGTGAATCTGTCAATATGTTGACCAAAAACAAAACAATTCTGAGCTGCAGCATCTTGATTTTATATATATATATATATGGTCGTATAAAAGGAATTTATGAAGTTGGATTAAAATTCATACAAGAGCAGAATGCAATATGCACAAACATTTCTACAAATTCACAGCAAAACAGCATTTTGTTTATTTTTATTTTTAATTTATATTGTTATTTCTATTCTATTACCACTATTGCTATTGGTGCATAGCAATATGTTGTGTTTTTTTGTCAACTGATGCTGCTGCTGTTACACATGAATTTCCTCTCCGCGGGACAATAAAGGTTGATTCTATTCTATTCTTATATTCATCCTGTTTATTTTTGGTGTAAAGAATATTATCTTAATTGAATACTAATTTTGAGATTTGTTTAACAATAAAGATTAATAACAGAAAATCCACTCGTCCATCCATTATCTTCACCTGTTTCTTTCCTTCCAGGTCTGTGTGAGAGGCAGAGTAAAACCTGGGCAGGTCCATCGCAGTATTAATATGAAATTATTATCATAATATAATAAAGACTATAATTAAAAAGGTTGGCATGAGGTTGGCTTTGGAGCTTGGTTCATATATACCTTCCAGTCGTGGTCCATGCCAATAAAAAGTGCCACTTGACCACTTTAATAAGTTGGAAGGACCAGTTTTCTGGTTCTTTATGCAAGTGGAACTCACTGCAACACTACGGACAGCTCCTTCAACTTGCTCTAAAACCTAAATAAGAACCATGAATGTAGAAAACAAATGTTCAATGACTGGAAGTAAAACAAAAAGGAAGAGTTAAAAAGCTTTTATACCAGATATGTATTTCTTCAAGGACTATCAACCTCTACAATATGGTCAGAGACTTCAGTCTTCTTTTCCTCAACACTTAATGGATTCTCTTCCACATTAAATACCAAAATCCAAACAAAGACCCTAAAACAGCAGAAAAAAAGTAGGGGCTCTACTGAGGTCCAAAACTTTGTGTTGCCTGTTGGGGGAGCAGGTAATGACAAGGCCTATAGAACTACGCACCTGTCAATCTTCAGATAAAGCGTCTCCAGATCAGATTACAGAACAAAGCGTCAGCATCACAAAGAGCATCATTGTCAATCAGTAACCCACAGACTATCACTAAGAAGAAAATCTGAAATCACTAGAGTCCAAATCTGCTTTGCTGAACAGGACTTCATTCTTTTTTTTTCAAAACAGGGCAATAAATAAGGAAAATAACTAAACCATAACTAAATCTTAATCTGCTCAACCTCTGCTTTAAGTTTCTACTCAACATTTATTATTACCTGTGAAATTGTGAAGCATGTTCAAGAAATTGTAGTTTAAACTATAAAAAGCAACAACATGTGTGTTATGAGGTAACAGCCATTTCTGATAGTGTCGTGTGTATTTGACATCTCAGCCAAATCTTATATTTGACAACTATCAAGCTCTAACAAGGTTAATAAATATAAGAGATTTTCCTCAATAACTAAAGAACAAACTAAAAATTAAACCTGGTGTTCTACACTACTGAGAAGTATAACAAAGATAACTTCTGGCTTTAGGATTTTCCAAGGTTATTTGTTCCTTTTTACCAGAGGCATCCCCAATTTTCTGCCTGAGAGAACCTCACTGAAGAAACTGAGCATTAGCAGGTCAGCTGACCACTCTCTGGGACAAAGAATGAGTCATGTCCCAAAGCGAGTCCCCTTCATAAGACCCCACTGCAGCAACAAAAGAAAGCACGTCCTATATTGTTTGTCTGACTACTAGCAATAAAGGTCCACTTATATAAACTATTTGTTCAATGGAGCATGTTCTTGACCTTCTATATTTATCAGTTCAACTAATGCCATGTCAGGGGGTATTATAGGAACTAGGCAATGATTAACAAAATATTTTATAAGCAGATTTGTGCAGAGAGGCAGAGTAACAAAAGAAATCCCACAGGAATTTGGGAGAATAAATGCAATGATTGTACAACTCACCTTCCATCTTCTGTTAGAATAACTTGGTAGCCCTGTGGCAGAGTTAGCAGGAAATCCACTGTGGGCTTCAGTAAGTTCTCCTTTGCATCCATGGCTAATGTCCCTCCCCCATCAGGTACAGAGTTTCTGAAGAAGTGACGTGGAGCAGGCTGAGGGACCTGTGGGGGAGGTGGGGCATGTGCCTTCATTTTCTTCCTAGATGGAGACAAATACAGAAAAAAAGAGTTGTTGCCTTCTTGACTGGACATAATACAGGTTATTGCATATTAATGTTCACATGATGTATTTGATAATTTCATTAACATACTGATCAACCCATCCAAGCTGTTGTGGAAATATGAATTTTTTTTTTTAATTTTTTATTCATTTCATTAAAACATACAACAAATAATATACACTCAACAAAAAAAATACAAATCACAAATAAAATGAAAGGTAGCAGAAAGAAGAAAAAAATCTTATTAATATCTGCCC